TTGAGAAGATAAGGTATAAGAAAAGTGAAAGTTTGAATAATAAATTAATCATAAAATTAAAATTCTAGGGAACTGTTTTCATGGTAGTTGCTTGAGCAAAAGCACTCTTTGGTTACTTTAAAAAAGCTTTTTTTTTTTTTTTTTTTTTTTTGTTCTGGTGACAGTGCTCTTTATCTTACAGAAGCTTTTCAGTTTCATGAGGTCCCATTTATTCATTGTTGATCTTAGAGCCTGAGCTGTTGGTGTTCTGTTTAGGAAGTAGTCTCCTGTGCCAATGAGTTCAAGGCTCTTCCCATTTTTCTCTTCTAATGGATTTAGTATTTCTGGTTTTATGTTGAGGTCTTTGGTCCACTTGGACTTGAGTTTTGTGAAGGGTGATCAAGATAGATCTATTTGCTTTTTTCTACATATAGACATCCAGTTAGCACCAATTGTTGAAGATGCTATCTTTGTAAAAAATCAGGTATCTGGGGTAGGGCATGGGCAGAGGGCCTATAATCCTAGCACTAGGGGGAGGCAGAGACAGGCAGATTTCTGTATTTGTTCTTGACAATTCCACATGTGTATAGTGCATTCTGATTACTCTCAGCCTCCTTCTGTTTTCCTTTCCCCTATTACCTCTCCTCGCTTCAAGTCTCTCTTCTGTATTCATGTATTTCTGTCTTGTTAGTGATCAGTTTAGTTTAATCAGGGCCGTCCATGTGACCATGAGCGCATCGGTGGGGACAAAATAGCCACTCCTCCCCCAGAATATATCACATCCAATAGTTCATCAGACAGCGTAGGGTTCCTAGCTAGCCCTTCCCTGACTCATACAAAATTGACAGGTCCAGTCTTTTGCAGGCTCCCTGAAGGCAACTCCAGTGGCCGAGAGACCATGATTGCATCAGCTATGTCATACCCAGAAAAGACTATGGAACAGCCCTTTCCCCAGTCTTTACCTCATGTTCTTCCCCCCCCCCCTTTTATTATTATAGTTTTAAAAAAAGGTTTATTTATTGTATATGAGTGCTCTATCTGTATGTACACCTGCATAGCATTAAAATGTACAGTTTTGCCACCGAATTTTGGTTTATTTTAAATAGTAATGGCTAAAAAATTATTATGTCTCTCTCTCTTACTCTATAGAAAAACTCAAATTTTTAGTAGTGCCCTATTAAAAACAATTACTTGCTATTTATTATCAGTACCAGTAATTATGATTGAGATGAACATAAATAAAATACAATGAAAAAATTGAAAAAATATTTTTATTAATTCTTTGAGAATTCCAAACAATATATTTTGATCATACTACTCCTCTTTCTTTCCTCTAACTTCTCTCAGATCCACAACACTATGTCTTTCTTCCAACTTCATGTCCCCCTCTCTGTGCCCCTCCCCTGCCTCTCTCACTGACACAGGGACTCACTATAAAGCCCACTGTATGGAAACTCACTATGTAGACTCGGCTGGCTTCAAACTACAGAGCCTGCCTGCCTCAGCCTCCCAAGTGCTGAGATTAAAGGTATGCAGAACCGTACCAATTTTCTTCTCTCTTGTAAAATAACCCATTGAGTCCAGTTTATGCTGTCCATTTATTACTGAGTTTTGGACCATCTACCGGAGCATTGTTGGCCTGCCAGCAGTCACAGCCTTAATGACAAATTACTCTTCCTCCCCTAGAAGCCATCCGCTGCCTACAGCAACTCAGGAGCTCCAGGCTAGGCTGTTGACAGGTTTGATCTTGCTCAAGTCTTGGCACGCAACCGCAGCTGCTTTGAGATTAGGAATGAAGTGGTCTCACCATGCCTAGAAGACAGTGTTTTGCTCCTAGCTCCCCAAACCTCTAGCTCTTACAATCTTTTTGTTCCTTCTTCTTGGATGGTCCGTAAGCTTGTGTGAATGTGTGCATGAGATGTAGATGTACCATTTGTTTCTGTTACCTAACATTCTTTCTAACCTGTTCTACAGTGTTCCCTGAGCCTTAAAACAGGTAGTGTAAATTGCTCTTGTGATTTTTCCAACATTTTTACCCCTTAAAATAATGATTTCCACTTACTTTTAAAATTATATTTTGGGCATTCTTGTATACATTTACATTAACTCCACTAATTTTAATAATGATAACGTACATCCCCCCCACTTCATTCCTGGGGAGATTGAAGTGTGGATTATTTGATTCAATTAACTGAAGTCATGGGAGAAGAACCAGACTGGGACCTAGACAGCCAGATTCTTAGATTCTTGTGTGTTGGCTCCGACTTCAGTGAGGAGAAGAGAGAATGAATGATGGTTGTTGTGGCTGTGTTCCGGGGAAGTTTTATTTACAGAGATAGCAGTGTGGATTGACCTCATAGGTCACAGTTTTCCACCTCCCATCTTACTTTCCCCAAGTCAGAATATCTAGTGGATATTACCATCTTTTTTAGTAAGATTCATAAAGGAGAAGCCACTGGGTAGTTCAGTGGTTCTCACCCCTCATTCTAACCTTGAGCTTCAGGAAGACAATCATCTAAAGCTGCTCATCCTACTAACTTAAGCCTCATGCAAACTTGGGTTAGTAACAGCAGTTCTTAGTCTTTTTTTCAGAAAGGTGGTGGAAATATAAGATCAGAAAATTCTTAAATAAAAAGTCTATATGATTTGGGAGTGATGCTTTGTGGTTACGACCGTGCTTATATAGATGACCCACGTTTGGTTCCCAGCACCTACATGGTGGCTCACAGCTGCCTGTTTCAGTTCCAGGAGATCCGATGCCTCTTCTGACACACAAGGGCTCCTGCATACAGGTAGTGCATATATACACACACTCAGGCACACAGACATACACAGAACATAAATTTTATTTTGGGTTTCATTAGTGGGCATGGATTTCATTTGTGTTCCTTATTTGTTGCTGTCTTGAGTGTGTTTTGGGTAAGGAATCCAGAAATGCATCATTATTCCTAAGGCAACAGAGGAGATAGTAGACATTATGATTGGGAAAGTTTCAGTTTGTAGTATCAGGTTCAGACAGAGTTTATTTAGACTATTTTAAACATTTTCTTATTTATTCTTTACTCGTGGTTGTCAAATAATTCTTTGTTGAAATTGTTTCCTTTGTAGCAGCTGGCACACCTCTTGCTTGAAGTCATCTCTGATGGTAGAAGATGCAACCATGAACATTACAGCCCATGCACTGGGAAGCTTCCAGGATTCCTTTTGTGACGCTGGGACCAGAAATGCTGCATCTGTCAGGTATTATTTACAGGACCGTAGAAAGAGGTCGTTTCCATGAATTTAATATGAATTGACACTTTAAGATGCTCTCTCAGTCTGATTTTTCCAGCCCTATCAGTTTCACTGGAACCCAGATACTAGAGCAGTTACTGATAACTGTTGAAACATCAATGTCACCATCAGCTTTTCTAGAGGGAAGTCGGGGGTAGGAGCTGACATGGGAGTCAAGTAAGATATGGTATTGCATTAGTTTTCACTGATTTGACAAAGGACCTACGAAAGTCAGCTTCAAGGCTGAAAGATTAATTTGATACCATGGCTTCTGAGGCTGTAGCCCATAGTCACTTGGCCCTGTTGCCTTTGGGCCTATGAAGAGACAATTTATCATGGAACATGTAATGTGGAAAACTGCTCAAATCAATGCATCCAGGGGCAAAAAGATAGTAAGAGGGGTAGTTGAGACTCCAGTATCTTTAAGGACACACTTACAACCAACTACCATGATACTGCACCCCTGAAAGTTTACCTCACTTTGCTGTTGTTCTGTGGGCAGCAGAGCAAACCTTTAATGTGTAGACCTTTGGACGGCATTAACAATATTCACTTCCCACCCAGCACAGAAAGGATGGGCAGCTTTGATTTTTTTGAGGCTGAATGTATTCACCATGACAATTATGATCTAATGTCATGTAAACCTGGATGCTGGATCATTAAACAGCCTGGGATTGATGGGTGGGTCATGTGATAAAAATATGTTTGGTTTAGTAAAAAATGATCAAATTGTACTTCAAAGTTCCTTTACCATTTTGCCTTCCCACTAGAAGTGAAGGAGAGGTACCATTCTTCTACACATGTACTTAACCATTTGCCTTGGGATGTGAGCCATGAGAACAGGCAAATGAAGCATCATTTCAATCTTCAACTCTCTAAAGCTGACTGTTTTTCCATAGGCTTATTTGTTATCTGTTTACCTTTGCTGAAAACTTGTCTGTTCAGAACTCTCGCCCCTTTCAAGGGGTGGGGGCAGGGGACTGAGTTTTCCCTTTGTTCAGTTTAAAGACTTCTTTGCATGTTTCGGATTCCCATGTGCATTTTGCAAATATTTTCTTTCAGTTTGTGGCTTGTCTTTGGATCCTCTTAATATTATGTATATTTGACTATCTAACCTTAAGATCGTGGTTCGGTTATTTTTTAAAGACCCGAGACATCCATGTTTACAACTGTGAAGAGAAGCTTGAAGGATCCTGCTGTTCCCTGTTCACCGCTGACCCCTTTTGTGAGTGTCTGCATTTGTAGAATGGATCAAGTCATCAAGTTCAAGCTGAGGCTCAGCCTCAAACCTCACCTTCTTAATGGGATCATCACTGCGACGATCCAAGAGTCAGCTAGTGGCCTGTCCAAGTCGGCTGGGTCTAGCTGAGCTGACATTTTTGCTGACTAGAGTCAGGCTATCTTTGCCAGTTTGCTGGAATAGACACAGACACGGATTGGGCCACCACGAAGACATTCCTGTCTTGTGAAGCAAGTCTGTTTGTATTTTAGGTTTGCCAGGACTAATGAATTAAAACATTTGGACGCTCTACAACTCGCTGTTTATCAATGCCTCTGACAGGAGGAGGGTTTTTCTTTTGCTCTTGCTTTTTCTAGAAACATGACAACATCCTGGCTGTGGAGTGGCAAGGAAAGGAGAGAGGGGCTGTGCAAGGAAGCGGAACAGGGAGGTCCCGTGGGATGGGACGCTGGGGTCCGGGCAGAGCAGGTAGTTGTGTGCAGCCGGGACAGCTGTCTCTGCTCCTCAGAGTGTCAGTGGCTGCTATGCAGCAGGTGCAGACTGCTCTCTCGCTGAGTCCTGACTGCACAAACGCAACGACTGGCCAAGGCAGTGGCTGGCCCTGGATTACACAAGGGCAGACTCTCAACTAAGTGAGGTAAGGCGACAGGTGTGAAACCCAACTAACCTCTCTGAGCACCGGCAACTTAGCTAGGGCCCTGTTAACAGCGGCAGGAGAAGGAACCAGCAGCCGGTTTCCCCAGGGGTACGATGAAAAGGTAAGTGGTGGATGCTGCTGAACTCTCCCGGACCTCGACATCATCCTTTCTGAGGCTTCTGTTGTGTTGTCCTTAGCTGTGTTTATCGATTTCTTTTCTCTAGCTTGAAACCAGAGCAGAGGTCTGTTTAATGAACCCCAGAGGCAGATTTCCACCTCCTGTGCTCAGTTTGTTGATGCAGGAGAGTGGAGGGATGGACCTGAAGAGGGTTGGGCTCCGCATCCCTAGAAGTCACGCTCAGGCAGACAGGGCACTGTTGGACACGAGACTTTTTTTTTCAGCCACAGCTTTTGGGGCTTTTGTTTGCTTCATTCAGTTTGAGGCAATCTGTGCCATTTCTTCAGAAACAGGTGGCTAAGAGAATTCTTGATACCAAGCAGAAGAAATTATGCAGACGTTGGCCAGACGGTTGTTTTTGTAAAAAGCAAGAAGTCCAGTATTAAGTCATAGCAATTTCAGGATACCATCCTTTGGTAACTTAAAATTACGTGCTACATGTGGAGCATCCAGTGCGCATAGCCATTACGAGGCTTACCGGGCTCAACAGAATTCTAAACGGCTCATAAACATTGTTGCTTTTAAGCTTTATGGTTAATATAAGCTTATTTTTTCCCATATGGTACCTAAGATGGTTCAAAATGTTTGTACCTCTGAATGCACTTGTACAAATGTATGCGTCGAACTTGCCCACATAAGTAATTGTAAAAACAAAACTCAGTGTTCTGGATACTATTTTTAGACACAGAAAAGCTATGGGAAAGAGTCAAAAACCTGACCATGAGAAAATATTCTGCTACAGCAGTTCCCAGAATCCTGCCGAGGATGGCTAAAAGACCTTATTTATATTTTGCCATTTTTGGAGACATTTTCCTTAAAATATCATGCAGGTTTTTTTGGTTTCCTGCCTACACGAGATGGTTAGGAGAGACTTTTGGAGGGGCATGACCAAAAATAGAAATGTTAAATATATGTATTTAAATAACAACCATATCATGTAATAGTATAACATTTTTCCTAGTCCCATTGAACATCAAGCTATAAAATATCTTCCTTAAAGAATAATTGGGTTAAATTCTCTTAAGAAACAGTTTTTGCTCTTACCATCTTATGCAAAGGATGTTTTCCTACTTGTTGTCTCTAAGTTTATTAACTAAATCATAATTTAATAGGTAGAGCCAAACACTCATAGGATGTTTTTTGGTTTTGTTTTGTTTTGCTTAAAACAGGGCTTCCTGTAGCCCAAGCTGGCTTCAAACTCTCTATTTAATAAATCTTACCTTGGATCAGCTGATCCTCCTGCCTCCACAGTCCTTGTGCTGTAAGGTGTATGCCCCACAGCCAAGTTTTGTTTTGAGTAGTACCCTGCTGTTGAGAGGTGAAACCTTAGGCTAAGTGTTGATAGATTTCTAGGTCATCAGTTAGTTAATAATACAATATTCATACTACAACTGTAACATGGTTTAAAACAGTTTGTGGCTTACTTTAAATTATCCCATTTATATCAATCCTATACTACGTCCCAAATAAAACACTGTGTTTAATTTAGGCACTGTGTGTCTGCGTGTTTGTGTGTTTTCACAGGTGTGCAGGTGACCTGTGGAGGCCACAAGTCAGGTTCTGTCTTCCTTGTCTTTGAGACCTGATCTCTCACTAGTCCATGGGGCTTGCTAATTAGGCTAGGCTAGTTGAGCTGGGGCCCCAGGTATCTCTGGTTTCTGTATCTCCATTACTGAGGTCACAAGTATGTACCATCCTACACTCTGCTTTTTTACAGGAGGATCCAACTCAGATCTTTCTGCTTGCATGGCAAGTGCTTTACCAGCTAACTGCCTCCTAGGTCCTCAGCATGGAAAACTGCCTTAGTCTGAAGCCACCTGACACTTTATTAAGACTATGTCTCTTTTTGTATTGTCCCCAGTTAAAAATAAAGAAATAATTTCACTATAGGTGAACTTAAAACCAAGATTAAACTGATCAGTGGGCAGGAATATTGAAAATATGAAATAGATTAAAAAAAATACCATATTTCATTCATTCCAGATGCCTATTACCAAGGGAATTTTTGTAGAAGCCAGACAAAAGAAATGAAAACGCATCGGTTATGTACTTACAGTGTAGGGAAAGGCAACTTACTCGCTTTCTCTTCTTATTTCTGAGGGTCTCTGGAGTGTAACATGCGGTGAAGTGACGATGGCTATCTCTTGTCCTTACAGCTGGAAGACCCAGGAGAAGGCCGGGCCTCAGGTGCCCACATGATCAGCACAGCCAGGGTACCTGCAGATAAGCCAGTACGCATCGCATTTAGCCTCAGTGATGCCGCAGGTATGCTTCTCTGGAGGGGAAGGGCTGCTTCTGCAGCCCTTTCAGAATTTTCACCATATTTTGTGATTCCATGGAGAATGTTTAAAACTGCATGTTTGCGTGAACGGATGGGAAGGTGTATGGTATTACATCACGTTGTTAGATATCTAGAAATGTCTGTAGAGCTCCCCCATCCCTGCCACCCTGCACTTCGATTTGATTGTTTTAGCAACTCTTCCCCTGTTCTCCTTTGCCATTTTAGCTTTCTTTTAGGATAAGAATCACTGAACTATAACAATTTCTAAGGATAGCAAACTGTGTCATTGTTAAAATGGCATGAGGGGATGTTTATTAAGAGCTGGCAGCTGGTCAGATAATATAAAAACAGTGCTGTCTCCATTCCAGCCATGTGTCTGCGATATTGGTTTCTCACTGGTGTTCCCACACTTCCGGCTAAATAAACAGACTGCACCAGGAATGATGAATGGGGCAGGTGAGGAGGGGCCTCTCTAAATAGTAAAGTCTGAGGTGAGCCTGCCATATTTAGAGCCTTTCATCATGGCTCCCCTCAGTGACCTCTTAACACACATATGGAATTGCACCACCCTTGACCAAGGGGCCCAAGCAGTGGGAGGTCATACCGGCTATGACAGGAAGCTCTGGTTTACAAGCCCTGGCATCTTAGTTCAATGTCATCTGTTAAAATCACCTGCTCAAACATCACCAGTTAAACCTCAGGTCTTCTCCCCTATCAGTAGACTTGGGGAGGGGCATGTGTGAAGAAGGGGGAGGGGAGGTGGGATTAGGAGGGGAGAAGGGAGGGATTTATGGGGGGATACAAAGTGAATAAAGTGTAATTAATAGAAGTTAAAAAAATGTAAAAAAAAAAAAGAAAAAAAAATAAACCTCAGATCTTTTTAGAACAGAGTCTTATTTTCTCTGTTACTCTCTCTTCCTGCCTGTAAATCCAGCACTGGGGAGGTAGAAAGAGAAAGAATTCCTGGGCTCTTTCGCAGCCTAACCAGTGAGTTCCAGGAAAGTAAGAGATCTTATCTCAAAGGTTATGGCACTTGAACAATGACACCCACTGTTGTCTTCTGGCCTACACACACACACACACACACACACACACACACACACACACACACTATTAATGAGTGAAAAGTGGCAGGACCATTCCAAAATAATGTAAAGTAAGGAATTTTGCTCTAGAAATTCTTGTGTGAAACAGCTATGTGATGCTGAACATTTACCCTAAAGTCTCGCAGACCATGGTCACCAAGAGAGAATGAGGTACAGTATGGAGAGATGAAACCTCTGCTTTTTATTGTGTAATTTTCTGTCACTCATCTCATGACTAGTTTTTATACACTGCATCCCCCACTCAAGGGTTATTCTGTAAGACATTGGTAAGGCGAAACCTTGGAGCTAAGAAGATCCATACCAATCAATGTAGAAGCATCTTTGTATTAGGAACTCATCTGTGCTAGTTTAAACAACCTTACAGTGGAGACATGGCCATCTCATATCTACTGGGTGGAAGTCTGAGGCTTGAGGACATGTTAGTTAAATAATGGAGTTAAGTTCTTTCATTATGTCTTACTACTTCTCTAAAAAGTTAAAAAAAAAAACCTTCCAGTTTTTAATGCACTTCATAGTTCCAAAATTTTAAACAGTGGACTATATGCAACGAGAAGCCCTTAAGATACATACATACGTGCAAGTTCATAATCCAAAAAGTAACGAGGTGTCTAATCTTCCTTCGACTTTTCTCTCATGGGGCAGACCATGTCCCATTATAGTAAACAGGGTTACAAGGACATTTTAAGCTATAATGCTTGGTTTACTCAAGTAAAATTATTACGTAATTTTGTACAAGAGAAAGAAATGCACCAGAAAAGAGTCACAATGACATGAGTCTCATCTTCAGGCTGGATGAATGAACTCTTCTTTGAAATCTAAATGCACAGCAAGATTCCTTTGGCACTGTCTTTGAATTCCCTGATCCTGGCTGAGAGTCCTTGAGTGACTTTAATCAATACATTTAAATTTACTTTTAGTCTCTTTTTTCTCTTTTAAATGTTTTCAAAATGTCCATCTTTGAAATTTATGTTTCATGATGGAGCTGTTTAAAAACAGATTACAATTTAAGTAATTCTTACCCTCTACTTCCACAAAAAGATGCTTAGGAAGGCTTATAAGAAATCTGCCATGATTAAGTATTTTAGCCTATAATCAATGTGTCTCACGTTGTCTAGGAAGACTGTTTGCCTATACAACCTAAGGCAGTTCTCAGTGTTTCTCAACCCTGCCTAATTCTACCACTTGAGGGAATCCATCAAGAACACATGTTTAGAAAAACAAAAACAGAAGGACAGGAAATTCTGAGGGAAATGGGTTGGGGGTACTATGGGGCCTTGGAGGCAAGTAATGGTAGATGGACGTGCTCTAAATACATTGTGTAAGTGTGTGAAATTATCAAAGAATAAATTAAAAATGTTAAGGAAAAAGAACACACATGTAAAGGTCCTGCCCTATGTATGTTGACGTTAGAGACTTGCTACTTCTCTGCGAGGACAAAGAAAGCCATCTTATATGTTTATACATATCAGACATACAACATTTCAAGGATTAGTCAGAGCCAAGGAATTGGAATTTTTCCATGCACACAAAGCTGTTAGTTAACCAAAAGATGCTTTGCAGATATTTGGGACACTCCCTGTGAATTCTTGAATAAGGAGTGTATGGAGTGTCCCACAGGCACACAGAGTAACATTTGCCATCATGCAAGCTGTACATGCCTTTTGAATTCCAGTGTGTGCATCCTGTGGACCACATATTTAGGAAGGAAAAAAAAGGGAAATGTCCTCCACTTTAATAGCAAGTGGGTAATGGAATGTGTCCTTTTTGAGGAGTTATTAATTTCACGCTGTTGGATAAACTATTGAATCTGCAGAGTCAAAGGGAAAGGGAGACATTGTTTACTTGTGAATATTGATATATTTGTTTTCCTTTTTGAGAACAGTTTTATACATACATAAACTGTATCTTGATCACATCTACTCATTTCTATTATTTTGTTTGTTTACATATGTATGTGTTACACTGAGACTAAACATGGGCACTGGATCTCTTAGAGCTAGAATGACAGGTATTTTCAGCATACAATGTAGCAGGAGTGCTGGAATTCGAAATCTCTCTGGTCCTCAGGACTGAACAGCAAGTGTTCTTAACCAGTGGTCCACCTCTACAGCCTCACAAATTCATTTGTTATGGGGCTAATATAGTTAGTACTCCAGTAATTATAGGATTTATTGGGTCTATATTCTTGAGACATTTACTGGAAAAATTTAGGGGTTTGGAGTTAGAGAAGGGTAATTTGGGGTTTGTTTTCATTCTTATGAGTGTAATATGGAGAAAGGTAGCTACTGAGCCTTGTTGGAATTCAGTTTTTCTTGAGTTGCATGTGGAAGAATGAAATGTCACCTTATAGGAGAAGCATTTAGCAAAGTGTATGACACAAATTTAATACTCAGGCTGCCCCCATAATTAAGGTAACTGGCTGTGGAGTATTAAGACAAATATAAACCACGAGGAAGCACATGCCCCGTGGACATTCCACACTTCCCCTTGATGGCAAGATACACTTCACAGAGTAGCTGCCTGCTGTTGTTTGGGGAGCAGTCACCCAGAGAGCAGTGAGTGCTGTATTGCCTCCCTAAGATGACCCTTCTGATCTCCTATGCCTGCAGCACTCTGCCGAGGCTGTTTAGATGCACACAGTGGGGCAAGACAGGTCCCCTCCCTTAAATCTAAAAGGCTGAGATTTGCTTAATAATCCACATTATCTAAAGAAATTGGCAAAGCCCTTTGAAAGAGCTGCCAATTAAACTGGGCTACAAGCTAGCTTATAGAAAGACACCATCTCTAGGTATAAAGAATCTATTGGAGAAAAACTCTATTTTAGCCATTTTTCTTCCTATTGCTTCCAAGCAGAAATTGTGAGCAAAACTTAAGAGTAGAGAAGAGCATGGCATACTCAGAAAACACCAAGCCACGGTCTGTTAGCTCAGAAGCTGGTGTGAGAAAAGGGCAGATATTTGGTGGAAGAGTCTGGAATGTGGAGCAAAGAGAAAATGGAAGAGGTGTTCTATACCAATACAAAGTGATGGGAGTCTGGGTTTAGGATGAAATGATGGAGTTTGAAAAAGATTTTGCAAGAAGGATTGGAACAACTGGGCGACAGTTTGCTTTTGATTGTTCATTGATAGAAAACGAGCCACAGGACTTCAGTGTCTCCTTGGACTTCCGAGGGCTTCCATACAAAAGCAGGCTTTGGGGAGAAATACATGGAGTCCTCTAAGCTACAGGCACTTTTTCCAGACCACTGTTAAAAAAACCTTCATAACTGATACTTGGATAAGGCAGCTATGCCTGCCTTTAATATGCTCAATATTATTTCCAAATCAGGCATTCATTCCAAAATAATAATTTCCTAAACGAGGTCCTCCACTGAGTTAGTTTTCACAATATCAAATGTGCTGAATAGAAATATGAATCCTCCACCTTGAATTATTGTGAGGAATCACCGGTTTCTTTCTCATGGGAGAGAAGTTAGAATTGGACAGATACTGGGATTTCATTTAATTACTCAAGAATTTTCTTTATCTTCAATTGAGTTGCAAAGGTGGCATACAAATTTAGACATTGCATTCATTCTCTCCACCCCATTCTCTCTCCAAAGATACTCACATCAGCCTAGGCTGATAATAAAATTTTAAATAAATGTTAAAATTTTATTTAAAAATTAAGTTGTTGGAATTTTCACATTAGGGCACAAATGTAGTTTAAAAATCTCAGACCCAAGCTGGGCACGGTGGCACACACCTGTATTCCCAGCACTCGGCAAGGCAGAGGGCAGGTGGATTGCTATGAATTTGAGGCCAGGCTGGTCTACAAAGCAAGTCCAGGACAGCCAAGTCTACGTAGAGAAATCCTGAGTTGAAAACAAAAACAAAAAC